CAATTTCTCCTCCGCTTTGAATCGACCCACCGGGGGATTACTAATGAAACTCCGTCTCGTTCACGATTTAATTTCTCAATTATCCGGTTAACGGCGGGTGAAAAGCGGCGGCGAATTAAGTATGCAGAGGACGTCCAAGGTCCTGTTTCAAAATTATCGGGATTTCGAACGTCTACGAAGGAGAGAGAGGAGGAATGTTGGTTTTAATTTCGTCCTGGCCGTCTGCAGGATTTTTGTCTGCGCTCTGTTCAGCAGCGGCTCACCTGAGAAACCTCGGGGAACAGTTCTCGCAGGATACCGATTGTCCTTTTGCTTCTCAGGGCGGTCTCGTTGTCGGCTTCGACCATCACCAGCCGATCGAGTGCCTGAAAAAAGTTTCCCTGTTGCCCCTACAAAGTGTTTTTCAATGCCCTGAAATTTACCAATCGATTCGTTCGCTCTTCTTCTTCGTCGTCCATATTTCAATCGTACAAATCTTCCGCGATGATTCCTCGAGCGATAATTCCACAGAGATTAAACTGGAATTATCGTCTGGCTATCGGCGGGGACAAGGAAGTGTATATATCGCGCGCGATTGGCTCGTTCTGTCGAAGGAAGCTGGTCGAAAGTGTCGGAGAGTGTTAAGGTAATATCGTTGCGCAATCCTCGATAGTAGGATTGAAAGGATTCTGTCGAGCGCGTGCAACGTTCGCCTAGTGAACTCTTAAACGGCGATTTTCAGCCGAATTATGCCAAATCAGCGAGTTAACGGGTGGAGAACAACGAGGAATAGATTGAAGAAAATGGTCGGAACTGTAACTTGGAGCGATGGCGATCGCTCGAACGGAATTGCACCGTTTAACGACGTGATTGCGTATTATTACGGGTGCTGCATTAGTGTCGCTACAATTTTCTATTACGATACGAAACGATTATGGACACCGGGGTTACGATTGTCTTCGTTACAAACGACGCTTCTTGTTTGCACAGGAAAACGTAAAGAAATTTCTACGACGACGTGAATTTATTAATCTCCGACAAACAGAGAGAGAGAGAGAGAGAGAGAAGTTTCCTCGTTATATTTTGCAACAACCTGGTCAAAGTATTCGATAAAATGATCGAAGCTGTCCTGGCACCTGGACGGTCATCGGACTCAAAAGTTGCTCAACCTGGTTACCATGGTTCACTTTCCCTCAGACCACGCTCACATTCAACTAGCTGTTACGATATTCGTCCCAGAGTGTTATCTACGTTTACGATCGTTTCATTTCCACGCGTCCTAATGTCCGCTTTAATCACTTCATCCCGTGATCTCACGTTCATTTCGAAACATCTAATCACGTCAAATCAAGCTCCTCGCCGGTAGATAATTAGAGGAAGAAAAAACAAACAAAACTTTCTTTCCCCGGCGCTTGAATTAAATCAGCACACGTAACCAGGAGAGAAGGTCGCGCTTGACCACGCGTTCAAGTCTCCGAAAATCGCGAGTCTCCGGTGACCAATTCACCCGCTTTCTTTCCATTTTCCTCTCAAAAATTCCAATAAAATCGTTGTTTCCTCGTAGAAGAGCGATCGATAGAGCGCAGAAGAGAGACAAAGTGTTTGAAATAAAGAGATGACGGAAGGTGAGGACAAGTTTGCTTGCGAACCACTGCCGCCGTTCTCGGCTGAAACACGCGGGCACGTGTGCGCGTGTACGCTCACGCACGCGCTTTCCATTGGGCATCGATCGAGCGAAGAAAGTGTCCGGTGTAACTCTGTAAGTGTTCGCGGCCAGTGAAAGCGTCGGGCAGAGAAGAAGAGAGCCAGCCTGATCGAACGTCCCGGCTCTTCGTCGGACCGTGTATTTCGTTCGGTCGTGAAACCAAGCTCGCCCGGGCTTGCCTAACATTTTTTCCCCGTCGAAAGGACAATTACCCGCGGGACCACTTTCGCGCGTGACGCACCAGCCTCGAGGACGACGTTCCATTTTTGCCCGAATGTGTTCCCCGGCTTCGTACTCCCCGGTCGCCCGACACAATTTGCCATATAAGAAATTCGAAAAAACTTATTCGTACATTAACAAAAATAACGTCTGCTTAAAAGTTCGCGCAAGAAACAAAGATCCGCCAATGTCATCGTTGACACTCGACTGAAGCGTTTGCACAACCTTCCTCTAGCCCGCGCATGCGAAGGTCGTTCGAATCTCAAGCATCCAGTAGCAGAATAGATTGACGTGTTCGTCGTCGAGAGCAAACACGATCCATAGTGAGCGCGCGACTCGTGAAACCAAGATCAAACAAACTGGTCGCGATGATCGAAGAGATGCTAGATCGCGCGCGCGCGCGCGTTCACGAGGTCGTAGCACTCGCGTCACCGAGAGTGAAAGATGGAAAGCGAAACATCGTCATCTCCGATCACCGAATCGATCGGACTCGGTCCAACGATCGAGTCCGCCATTTTAGCCCTCTCGACGTCGAATTCCAGGCGGGGAACTTTCGCAACGGAGCGACAGAGTGGACAGTTTCGATCGGTTGGTTTATCGCGGCAATTAACCGCGACGGTCGATGGGATTCTCGCGGTGGAATTTTTGCCAACGGAAATCGCGCTTTCTCCGATTCTTCGGTGCCGGTTGCCGATCGGTTGGCACGTCGCGACCAATCAATCACGAGCAATCGCATCTTTCGCTTTGGCCCAGTGACACAGAGAAAGTGATCGTAACAGAGCTGGGTTACGTAACCTCTGGGTCGAAGACAACTGGTTGGAAGCCCTTTTTAAGCAACGAGACCAGTTTTTCGAGGCACGATCGTGGAGAACGTGGACCAACTTTGGCGAACGAAACGTAACGCAGCTGCCGATTGTACACCGATTTTATACACGTGACACGTGTGGAGTGACCACGATGGAATTTAACTGTACGAGCGCCTGCAATATCAAGGTGGTTTCCCAGAAAGAAAAGCCCGATCGAAGTCTCTGGAGTCGAGAAAGGACGTTCGGCCGGTCTTACCTCGGACTGAAGACGTCTCATGTTGAAGGCTTCTCCTTCGGGAAGCGGATACGAGCTGACTGTCACCACGCACAACGCTGTTGCCAGAACGAGGACGAGCTTCATGTTTCTTTTGGCAATTTGTATCTGCAAAAAGAAGATAATTAATTTTTTCACTTTCACAGTATCATTTCATCTTCCTTGTAAAATATTCACTCTTTCGAAGAAGTATTTGGCAGCTCCAATAATTCTATGCTTACCGTTTCTCTTCTCTTTTTAACTTTTTTATCAGAAATGGTAGATTTTCTATACTTTCTTGCGCGTGTTTCGTCGATGGTCCACCAACGTGGACCGGAAACGTTTGGAAAGGATTCTGGAGGAGAAAAAAAAAAGCGAGAAGATGAAGGAGCCACCTCGATCTGAACGTAGAGGGGAGCAATGGCTCTCCTTTCTCGAGCGTGGATACATTCGAAACTATCACTTTCGACCGAATGAAAGTCGGGAACACCGCTGGCATCCACGGCCAGAAGATTCTCGAGGAAAGATGGTCTTCTATCGAGTTTCGTCGTTCCTTTTCGTAGACAGAAACCGTTGGAAGTTCTAGTAAAGTAGGAGCTCGTAAACCGTTCGATATTTCGACTTTTTTCTTCCTTTTATTACTTAACGATGGTTCTCGAGGAAAGAGAAATTTGTTCCGATTTGATATCTCTATTGTTGGTGTTTTTTTTTCTTTTAAAGGGTTACTCGGCTTGGTAGATTTATTGCCTGGCGATAGAGATAGCAGTTGCCGCTCGATTCAGCAACTAAATGAGTCTATAATTGCAGTAACGAGGAGAGCCAGAATACAATGGTGGCCACACACCGAGGCAATATAGATTCAGCACGCACGCCTTCTCAACCGATGGTGCAACAATGAGCATTCGAGGTCAGATATTAGCAAGTTTCGTTAATTATTCTCTATTGTTACCGAAAGCTAGACAGGAACTATTGTTAGCATAAAGAACAGAGATGATTATCATGTTTGCTTAATTGCACGATAAACATCGTTCGATCGAAACTATCTCACTTTCCATTTCCTATTCGAGGAAAAAAAGATTGCGGTAAGTATAAAACTGACAATAGCTACCAAATTTCTCCACGATTGACGACGACGTGTGGATCGTTGTTTGACGATAAAACGAAGACACGTGTGCGTCACAGTTCAATAGAAACCGTATTTTTCTCGAGCTGGTATTAGCAAGTTTCGATTTTCTCCTCGAGCTCGTCGTTCCTCGGGCGAGAACCACTTCACGAAGGTAGTTTTCACTTGGGTAATTTTCTTCGACTCGGCCTTGTACACTCAGAGTTCGAAAAGCACGGAAGAACTCGAGGAGGAAGCTCGAGAAAAATAATCGAAACACTGTGCGCCCGGGAGAAACTATCGAGCGTTGTTCCGTCGAGAAAACGATCGTCGAATGGATATCTTTAACGTCCTGGAAGAGAAAATCGTACGTCACCAAGTCGAACGTCTTTCCTCGAACGATTCGGTCCGACGTTTTCACCGTTGTCGAGATTTTTCGAACGCAACTCGATAGTTTCCTCACTGATCACACAGAGTTTCGTCGTCACGTGGGTACCGTTTTTGTCGTCACTGAACGATTCGAAATGAAATTCACGGAGTCTCGAGGAAAAATTGATCGCGCGCGTCCTGAACGTTGCGAACTCACCACACACAAGATTCGTTTAATATACGAATCGCACGGTAGGAAACTTTTGTTTTTTCTTTGAACTGGCTCCGCTTCTGAAAGTGGACCCAAAACGGAGCTGAGCGCGGCTCCTGCTCTCTTCGACTTTTCTGTGACTGTCTGTGTAACGGAGCTTAGTGAGCGGCTTTTATTAGAAGGAGGGGCCTGGCGCCACCTCCACGCTACACTTAAACCGCCGTCCTCTCTGTTCCTCTTTCTCCCGCGTGCTCTACGCGATCTTGAAGAAGGGAGTGAGCGGCCGCGGTGTACGAGAGATCCTCGACGCGGCCGTGAAGATGAGCGACTAGGAAGCGTGGATCCGAGCGATCGATCGCTGGTCTGCATTCCACGGAATCTCGGTTGATAGGTGAAACGAGAATCTTTGAATTCAAATTTTTGAATTTTTTGATTTTTGAATGTTTGAACTTTTGAATATTTGAGCTTTTGGATCTTTGAGCGCTCCAACTTTGGAATTTTTCAATTTTCGATTCTTTGAACTTTCGAATCTTTGGATTTTTGAATTTTTGAATTTTCATATCTTTAAACTTTCGAATCTTTGGATATTTGAATCTTTCGAATCTTTGAATCTTTGAATTTTCAAATCTTTAAACTTTCGAATCTTTGAATTTTCATATCTTTAAACTTTCGAATCTTTGGATTTTTGAATCTTTCGAATCTTTGAATCTTTGAATTTTCAAATCTTTAAACTTTCGAATCTTTGAATTTTCATATCTTTAAACTTTCGAATCTTTGGATTTTTGAATCTTTCGAATCTTTGAATCTTTGAATTTTCAAATCTTTAAACTTTCGAATCTTTGAATTTTCATATCTTCAAACTTCCGAATCTTTGGATTTCTGAATCTTTCGAATCTTTGAACTTTCGAATCTTTAAACTTTCGAATCTTTGAACTTTCGAATCTTTGAACTTTTGAATCTTTGGATTTCTGAATCTTTCGAATCTTTGAGCTTTCAAATCTTTAAACTTTCGAATCTTTGAACTTTCGAATCTTTGAACTTTCGAATCTTTGAGCTTTCAAATCTTTAAACTTTCGAATCTTTGAGCTTTCAAATCTTTAAACTTTCGAATCTTTGAATTTTCATATCTTTAAACTTTCGAATCTTTGAACTTTCGAATCTTTGAACTTTCGAATCTTTGAACTTTTGAATCTTTGAACTTTCGAATCTTTGAACATTCGAATCTTTGAACTTTTGAATCTTTGAACTTTCGAATCTTTGAACTTTCGAATCTTTGAGCTTTCAAATCTTTGAATTTTCGAACATTTGTGTCTTTGAATTTTCGAATCTTTGAACTTTTAAATTTTTGAAGTGTTAAAACTTTAAACTTTCGAATTGAAATGCCCAAGAGATGAAAAACGTTCCAGGAAGTTCGACAGAGGCGTGAACGTCGGGCGGAGTGTTAAAAGATCGATTATGCTGCAGTCCATGGACAATTTTTAATGAAGTTTTTGTATACTGCAAGAACGTTAAAGTTTCATAACTGCGTGAGTCTGTAGAATCTTTTGCGAACTGAAGCTGAATGTTTACGTTCGATTATGGACAGCGGAATACTTACGTATCCTTTTACAGGAAGCGCTTTACCTATTATTATGTCATGAGAAATGCAACACGCGTTTTCTTTTCTAAACGAATGCAGATGTGTTACACAGAATGGAACCGTTTTTCTTTTCACTCTTATGCCAGATTATAAAACTGGTTCTTCTTTGCTCCCCGCCAGCCGTGACACGATCTAAATCTATATAAAGGACTGCCTTCGTTCTACAAACTTGATCACTCTTTTCGCAGTTCTCGTATGAAACGCTCGATTTACAGTAAATTTCTAAACGTAACATAAAACACTAACACTTTAAATGTAAAATGAAATATTAAAGTTTTAAATGAAAAATTAAGTATTGACGCTTTAAACGAAAAATAAAACCTTGACGCTTTGAATGAAAAATACAGCATTGACGCTTCGAATGAAAAATAAAATACTGATGCTTTAAATGTGAAATGAAACTGACGCTTTAAAGGAAAAATGAAAAATTGACGCTTTAAATGAAAAATGAAAAATTGACGCTTTAAACGAAAAATAAGGCACTAAGGTTTTAAATGGAAAATGGAACATTGACGCTTTAAATGAACAATGAAACACTGACGCTTTAAATTAAAAATGAAAAATTGACGCTTTAAACGAAAAATAAGGCACTAAGGTTTTAAATGGAAAATGGAACGTTGACGCTTTAAATAAAAAATGAAACACTGACGCTTTAAATGAAAAATGAAAAATTGACGCTTTAAACGAAAAATAAGACACTAAGGTTTTAAATGGAAAATGGAACGTTGACGCTTTAAATCAAAAATGAAAAATTGGCGTTTTAAACGAAAAATAAGACACTAAGGTTTTAAATGGAAAATGGAACGTTGACGCTTTAAATAAAAAATGAAACACTGACGCTTTAAATGAAAAATAAAACATTGACGCTTTAAATGAAAAATGAAACACTGACGCTTTAAATGAAAAATGAAAAATTGACGCTTTGAATGAAAAATAAAATACTGACACTTTAAACGAAGAATGAATGATTAACGCTTTAAACGAAAAATGAAACGCTGACGCTTCAAATAAAAAAAATGAAACGACAGTTTAGCCAGGAAAATTTCACAGTACATTCAGTCGGTGCGTAGCCAGACAAACGCGCGTTGGGTCCCATTAAACCCAGCGTGAGCCTCAAACGACACAATAGTTTCGTGGAGGTTAATTAAACCAGTCCCAAAAGAAACTTTCCAGCAATTATTCGCGAACGAGTTGCACGAAGTCGAATTGTCCAAGTAAAATCGGATTTATCTCGATAACACGGAGCTCGTGCTTTCTCCGCAGAACGTTTCCAGTTTCGTTCGCTGTTTCACCGACCTTCTTGTGTGTCGCATCCAGTGAAAATCCCATTATGATCTCGTCGATCTGCATCGCGACGCGCCCGTGGAACCGTCGCACTTTCATTCCAGATTATTGCCCATTTGTTCGCTTCACAGGAGTTCGCTAGAAAATTCACAGAAATCCTCATCTCTTTCCGACCGATTTCTATCGAAAACGACAAGAAAATACGCCATGTTACCCCACATCGAACCAACGGATCAATTTTTATTCACCTTCTTAACATTTCCAAATTGTTTTTTACACCGATCTACCTTTTTTTTTCACCGCTCGAAAGTCGATCAAGAGAATATTGCACGTAGGACACGCGTGGCTAATCCGAAACGAAGAAACGGTCACGATCGATCGAGCTCAGGAAACGATATCTCCGACCGTGTGTTCAGAGTCGTTTGTCAAAAATTTGGTAACCGATGCCGAAAGTTCGTCTCTTGCGTTAAAGTCCCGTTCAATTCGCTGGACGTTTCTCAATGATCGTGAAACAAAAGTCAATTTGATTCGCTGACGTTGTACCCGTGACCAGGGTACACGCGTTTCTTCGGTGTACCGAGGAAAATAATGTAGCCGAGTGTCGTTGTTTCGCCTAGTTTTCGATGGTCGAGATAAGGTCACCCTTATTTTAGAATTCTCGACAATCGTCTTGTACGATCGTTTCACAAGCGTTTCGGTATTATTTGTAAGGTAGTAACGTTTCTCGATGGAATGGAGAGCAGAAAACTCATTAAGCGCGAGGTCGGCGAAGAAATTCGGTGGTTGGATGCCTTGAACTCGTAAGAAACTCGTAAACTCGTAAACAAATACAGATTCGCGTTCCTCGTCCTCGAGTTTAACACTACGAATAGAATTAACGTAGCTGGTTTTTTTCTCCTTCTTCTCTCGTTTCTAACAAACGACGATTTGTCTAACGATCGTATGCAAATTTAGGCTGAGGATAAAGTTGAAGGTGACCAACCCTAGATTTGCATCTCGGAACGGTGTTCCACAGGAAAAAGCACGCATACTAGCCGAGAGTAATTCACGATCATTGGCATTGTAAACATTGTCAGAGTCTTGCGTTCCCCAGAATTATACACGTCGTCGTTGAAGTTTGTCCTGTTACGACGTTTCCGCTTATTACTAGACTGTTCGAACGACAGAAATGAG